AAAGCAAAGGCGGTGCAAAAATGTCAGGTGCAAAAATGGGCAGCAATGGCACACGCGGCGTATACGCAATGCAGAGCGAACACTATGGGAAAAGGTTGGGAAACACTTTTTTTTTAACAGAAATTACTCTTTAGTGAAATATTAAAAAAGTTTTTACTGAAATATAATTAAGGTATAAAATGTATTTTGAACTGTTTTGTTGTGAAGTGTTTGATATACTTAAAATTTACACAACCTTTACACATTTGCATACTTTAAAAAAATACTTTAACACATTTAAATACCAGATTTGATTTTTTGTATCTAAAAATTCTTTCAAGTGCATCTACAGCAGCGAAAACAAGTCGGAGAGTAAACAAGGCTGTGAAGTTGCGCACTCGGGGGCTGCAGAAGGCAGCATATATGCATGTATATAGTGGGATATATCGGGCGGATCGGTGGGTTGGAGTGTACCATAAACTGAACGACTGATTGAACAGCAAACAGCAGTAGCCCAGCCCCTGTTGCAGTTCTAGCCTGGCATGTAAAACACATGTTGCCCCTTATTTCTTTCGCCATCGAAACGTTCGAACGGAACGCACCGAGCCGATATCGGTTAGCTACCCCCCTTGTGTCCAGGCGGAGCCAATTTTAAGCAAATATTATTGTTTGCATTTATGTTTGTGTCTGATATGGCACTGGCGATAATGCACTGAATGCGTATGCGGCTGGGCCAACACCACCACCACAACCCCTCCCTCAATGGAAGTAACACTGTTTCACAAGGTAAAGGTTTTTATAATGCACTTGTAAAACAAGAATTTTGACTCTTTGAAAATATGAAAAAAGGGATAATTTACTTCATTTAAAAAAGAGTTTTACGAAGCGAAATCATAACTTTAAACCTTTGCTTTACTTTGTGTACTTAATTTTCTTGTAATATTTCTCTAGAGAAATGAAACTTGTATTTACAACCTGAAAATGTTGTTGCCAGGTGTCTGTTGGACTTCCAAATGCTGTTAGTCCTGCTGTCCTGTTGTTGTCCCTTGGTCCTGTTCTTATTATTGTTTCTGTTGCCGTTGCCGTGTTGTGTGACTTGAAGCGTGGCACCGAGCAGCGTGTAAACACAACCTCAAATTAAAATATGTTTACTTATGCAGTATGTAGAGCAAACTGAACGGCCAACTATGCTACATATAACCGATGCCCAGTGTTGCTGATCCTGCCTCAGCTCCAGCTCCAGCTCCTGCTAGGCATAAATTAAAAGTTTGCAACATATTTGCACCGGTCCAAAGTTGCGCCTTGGCAAAACCTAATTATGCATAAAGCAGCGGCCCCGACAAGGGGTTTATTTACCTTCTGGTCTGCTTGGGGCCTGAAACCCCTTGCCAAGCCAAGAGAGAGACTTGGATCAAGGGTCGTGGGTCGTGGGTCGAGGGTCGAGGGTCGCAAGTCGCAATATCTAGGGTTTCCCATAGCGGTATTATGACAGCTGCCCAGCTGACTGACAGCCTGTGGTGAGAGCGGCTGTCGGCAGCGGAAATTAAACGCCTCGATTTGCGTGCCCGTCACGCGTAAATCAGGTAAAGGCAACACACTTGGCCACCGAGGCCGCTGGCCACCGAAATTGATTAGAGCCCTTAAAGGCAAAGCCAGCGAAATGGCGAAAAATAAGTACTTAAAACTGAAATCTTAAGTTAAAAGCTTACATTTTAATTTATATATATTTATAGACAGTGCAAGTATTAAAAATTAAAGGTTTAGCAACATCTTGTCAGAGAGAAAATGTCACAGAAAGAAAGAAAACATTTCAACTAATCTTTAAGTATTGAAACTTAATGTAGATATAGCAAAATCATGAGCAGTTGATGTCTTTATACGATTACATTACTTGAACTCCATTTGCAATTAAAAAAATTTGTACTTAAAATATAAAACTAAATCTTAAAATTATAATTAAAACTACTCTTTAGTGCCGCTATGAAGTACCAAAACCGCCACTGAACTTAAAGTTCTAAACATATTCGTTCAAATGACTTAAGTGAGCAACTAAAAACGATCGTTTGCAGTAAGGAAAATCACAAGGAGAGGACTATCCCTTCTCCCATTAATCTGGCAAGTGTTGTCAGGCCGCTCATCATCATTCTCACCAGCTTCTGGAGCCTAATCCAAATCACAAAAAAAAAAAACACCACTTTATCCCCAAAAGCGGCAACCTTCCTGCCCAGATAATCACAAGGAAAAGCAGATCTCTCAGTGGGCTCTGATTTATGCGACACACATTAGGATGTCCGTCCAGTGCAAATTGAAAGAGGTCCGGCTGGGCCACAACATATCGCCGCTCTTTATTATCCTTCGAAATGAACAATTTCAGCAAAAGACCCGCAGCGGCAGCCGCATTCCACGTTAATGCACTTCAGAGCCTTCGGCAATGGGAAATTACTCAAAAAAAATACAAAATGAAAAGCAGAAAACAGAAAACAACGGCATACAAATTGCAAACAGGGCGCGCATAAATTAATCGAAAGCTAGGCGAACGAAATTAAAACATTAATCTACAGCCCGGCCGAGCTGCATAACAATTAATGCCGGCTTAAATTTATTAATTTATTTATAAAGCCAAAAAGGGCACCACCATCGGGCACCACCGGGCACCAACGAGGTGCGAATCCCAGTCCAACTGCGAGTCCAACGAGTGACGGAATGAAAAAGCCAGGGACAACTCCAACTGGCCGAGAGATGGTTCAGGGGATGAGGCAGCAGCATCTTTGCGCAGTTTTTAAAAATGTCAGTACGCCCTCCAGGGACAGATTAGCGATTAATCTACGGGGCATGGTCACATGCACGCCCTTCGGACTCTAGTCTGGGTCTCCGGAATGGACTCCGAATGGAGGCTGGTCCCCTTGGCAGCAGGGGACGAGGTAACGATTAAAAAATCTCCACATAAAAGACTGAGCACTTAATCAAAGCGGATTTAGAGAGGAATAGGGCCATGGGTAAAAAGCCAAGGCGACCAGGGCCAAAAGCGTTGATGCGGCGCTTTGTTTCTAGCTGCCTCTTCTCTTAGGGAATGCTCTATACAAACCAGAGAGGCATGAACGACCTATCAGGCACTTTGCTTAATTTAAAGTTTAAGTTGTAGACTTGATATCTTTACCATAGTATACGTGCATTTCATTCAAACTTATCTTGGTATATCTTTATCAAACAGTTGGAAAGGTTTAGCAGTTTTCTACCTAGCATTGAACAGGTAGCTAATTGCAAAAAAAAAAAACGAAAACAGACTGGCAGATGCTCGATAAGCAAAACAGGTAGGTTAAGGTGTGTTTTCCACTTTTCCATATATAAAGTAAGGTCACTATATTGATTTTTGCTCAGTTGAAAACAGACACTTGGCAGGTGTAAAGTGAGCTCTTGCAAGGGAACCAAACGTCATTTTAGTAGAGGTAAGACATTGTAGGAGGAATTTACTGGAATAAACTATTTTTAATTAAAGAAACGAAGAGGTAAAGCATCTGTTGGTCGACTTTATCTACTCCGTAATCGCCTTAGTTGGATTTTAACTACATATTACAAGCATTTTTATTTCGCTAAGCGCTGCTCATAGTTTTTGGTGCGCTTTTTCATTTCGCTGCTTGCAGCTTCCAGGGATTTTGCCAAGTCTCCTCACCACGCCCCGGGAGTGTAACCTCGTAAAAGACCTTAAATAGTGGCAAAGACATCTTCACAGACTGGGCCCGCTGCATTTGTCAATTTACTACGAGCTGAAAGGGGCGTGGCCGCGCATAAAGATGATATATGTGAGCGCTGAGTTAGCAATTTTCGTATGAATTGGCAGAGTTGCAGTTGCCGCTGCTGCTGCTGTTCGCCTTATGAATTTCTTTATGGCCAACCTATAAAATATTTTGATTGCGACGAGGAGCATGAGGAGGGATATGAGGACGTTGGCTGTGGAAATTAAATGCTGCTCACTGCTGCCTGCTGCCTGCTGCCTGATGCCTGATTTGCTCGCTAGCTCTCAAGTGGATTCCGGCCCAATCCGACGACCAGGGGCCACTCGACCACTGTCCACTTCAGTCCCGGTCAGCAATTATGGAGGAAAAACCGCATAGAGCTCCAAAAGCTGGGCCGGGCCAAGTGCCGAATGCTCAACAGCAGCAAAGGCAATAGCAATAGCAACAGCAACATCAGTAGCTGCAGAATTTTGGCATTTTCCCCTGTAATCCTTTTGTGTGCTAATTGGAGCGTTGCCCCGTTGCCATAAATACCCCGAAACCCATCCAGTTCCAGTCCCGCAAATATCTGGCCTAAACAGTCCCAGCACACAGTTTGGCGGCCATTCAGGACACTGAAATCGGCTTAGGCCACTTGTCAGGGCAGCAAATGTAAATATTAAGCGGGCTCTTTAATTGGATTTAGTTTTTGTGGTTGTACGCCAGTTCAGTGGAAAATGGCCAGGACACAAATATTGGAATCAATATGGTTTGAACGCCATTTAACGAAAAATCAACGAAATTCTATAGGAATATATAAGAAATCAATATTTAAAATAGTTTAAACAATATGTTTATAAACACTGAAAAGGTTTTTGCAGTCAGATTTGAATAAATGCAAGTTGTAAACAGGAAATAATAATAGGTTTATTTATTGAAGAATGAATCACCTTCTTTTAAACCAATTTCCACCTCTGATCATGAATGCTTTGAATGGTTGTTTTTAGCTAATTAAATATATTTCACACATTTATTATTTAGCTCTAAAATGAAACCGAAACAAAAAGTTATTTATGGAAAAATTGTTAAAGGCAGCATGAGATTAAGAGGATTAACCACAATTAACGCCTCGCTAGCCACTAAATAAATCAATATTTTGTTTTTTTTTTATATCAAGAAATATGTTTAAACAAAATATTAACAAGACATTTGGCGAACGCGTGGTTCACTGATGAACACTGCGTGATTATGTTTGGCATTTATTTGATTCCAAATTTTGATTTTGGATATCAGGGAGAGATGTCGCCATTAGTTAATAAAACCAAATACACCTTTGCTTTATTTTTCAATACAGAAGCCGACATTAAAGTAACACATTTGAGATGTTTACCTAGACGATTATCTAAGCGGCAAATAGGGAACATAGGATAACAGAAATAGACCGGTGTTATCTGTTTTCTTGGCATTGTTTTTGTCACAGTTGCGGCGTCCGTTGATCGCCAGTTATCAGCCAGAGAGTAAAGTACACATTTTCTTATCGGCATCTCGGCTCTCCCAGCTTCCAGCTTCCAGCTTCCAGTCGCTCCCATTGATTGTTGAGCTCCAAAGCCCTCCAGACGTGGTTCAAGTGCAAGATAACGAATGGGGAACAAATTCCTCTTTACCCTTTGAAATTACATAAATCAAAATTAACAGCGGACAAGCCCCCTCCAGGTCAATGGAAAATTCAAATATTACCGGAATGAAATTGAAATTGCAAATTTAATGTATATGAACCATAAGTGAAACTGCAGCTAAAATTAATACCTTGTGGTTGTGATAAATCTATAAAGGTAAGAATTTAAAATATAATTTAAAAATTTATCGCGATAGGGTAATATTTATTTAAATCACAGAACAATTCAAATCGAAAACAAAGTCCCATACTTAAATCAAAAAATTATCAAAATAGGAAAGGTAATAAGTAAAAACAAAGGTAATATAATACCGATATTTATCATTTAATGAGCGAACTTAGGGTTTTTTAGATCGTTTATAAAAAATATAAATTCTCCTTGTTTGGAAAACATTTACTTCTCATGGAAAATTCCAAAGCAGTTTCAGTGATATGTTTGTGGATTACAAAAATGTATATGTATAAAGGTTTATAAATAGAAAAAAGATATACTATAAAAATGTACAAATGTAAAGCTCTTCTGTTTTAATATTTAGTAACTTAAGGATTATATATTTGATTTGACAGTCAGACAAGTCTGTTATTTATTAAATATATATAATATAAAACAACTAGTAGACTTGTGTTTACTTCGGTGACAAGCCTTATCAATACCAGCAAGTCTTATCACTTAATCAATTCATTGATTTGTGTGTGAATAAGCTTAGCAAAACAAATCAATTAAAATGCTTAAACACGCTCAGTTTGTGTTTTCTTTTCATATGTTTCCTATACTTTTTGAACAAAGTCTTATGCAGTTACCGAAATTCAATATTCAAGTACAACTTCGAGAAGCTTGAATGGAAATAATATTAGAATAATGTTAGGTAATAAAATACAAATAAATTGTATATATAATGCCAAAGCATTATATATTTTTTGCACCTGTATGGAAGAAATCTATATATATGAATAGTGATTTTGTGTCCAAACAAAGGCATTTGCCGAAAGCTTGCATTGTCTGAGATATTTCAACTCCCCCGTGGGCACTTTTTTGCTAGATTTATCATATGGCGATCGTATTATAACGCTGCCCGGAGAGCGTGTGTTTGCCATTGATTGGCCATCCAATTTGCATATATAATTTATTGGCAATTGTTGTGACATTTTGCACAGCCACTGACGATTGCGCAAAAATACGAGTAAAATACCTGCGCCGCCAGACAGGTTGTCGCTGCCGTGGGAACTCGTCTCGGAATCTTGGAGCACAAATCTCTTTTTAGCCAACTCTCCGGACTCTCCCAACTCTTTCAACTTTCACTCTGGGCCATTGGTGACTCCTTAATTAAGCCATCTCAATGGGTAACTGGGACTCGGGTCGCGCTATCTGCCAGCAGACAATGGCTTAATCTGCCGTCTAGATGGCAGGGAGCAAACGCGGGCGCACCTACCTCCTCCAATTAACCAGACAGCCGGCTTCATTTACCTACTTAAAAGAGCTAAAGAGTAAGAGTTTTTTGTTGGCCCCAGTCTTGTGGCCTTTTGGCCGTACTCCCGTTTTCCACCAAATGCCATCATGGATCGCTGGTGCATCCGTAGCCAAGTGCTAATGCTCCTCACTAAGTCCAACTCCAACTTCCATTGATCCAGCTCAAGGTGTCACGCCGCTTGGCTCTCTCTCTCTCTCTCTCCCTGTCTGTTTGGCTAAAAAACTGGTTTCTACTGATCGGTTTTTGGTTTGCAAATGAAATCACTATCTCCACCGTTACCGAGTTCCATATTTTTCACGCCAGTCTGCACTGAGCCGCACCGCTCTCGATGTGTTCAACGGCAAATATTTGAGAAAGTCCACCCACAGTAAACTGTAGCAGACCACCTACACTCGTAAAAAAAACTAGTAAATTGCCCTTTTAAATGAAATAACTCCTGAATTTTTAAAGCTTAACCATGGCCGATAAGGAAGTGAAACCGGTGGAAAAGACTGCAGATCCGATCATCTCACAGATTGGTGACTTTCGACGTTACCAGTTTCTGTTTTTCTTCCTCATCCTGCTCTCCAAATTCGGCACTGGGTGGCACACTTTGGGTCACATTTTCCTAGCTGCCCCCACACCTGTATCCTGCAAGACGGAAAATGTTACAGATGCATGTAGCAAGGATTGCAAAAAGGTTGAATATGACACAAGTGTCTTCAAATCGACCATTGTCACTGAATGGGATCTGATATGTGATCTCAAGACACTGGTGAGCCTGTCGCAATCCATTGTCATGATGGGCATTATGCTGGGGAGCATGGGATTTGGCATGATGGCAGATCGGTAAGTATTTGATTTAAAAAATATAATTTAATAATAATAATAAAAATAATTTTTCCCCAGTTATGGAAGACGTCCTGCCTTTTTAACCTGTTGTTATATGCAACTGTTCACCGGTCTTATTGTCTGCTTGTCGCCCTTTTACTGGTTTTACTGCCTCTTTCGGTTTTTGGTGGCCTTTGCCACGGGTGGAACCATGACCACCAGGTGGGTGCATCTTCCATATCCTGTGTCTTTTTTAGTAATTTCTATAATCTCTCAACTTCTTCTTTCAGTTTTGTGCTGCTCATGGAGATCGTTGGGCCTAAGAGGCGGGAGATGATAGCCATTTTGTATCAGATACCCTTCGGTATTGGCCACGGCTCTCTGTCTGTGTTTGCGTATTTTATTCGTGATTGGCGTTGGTTTCAATTTTCCATCACCATTTTTTCTGTTGTATTTGTGATATACATCTGGCTAGTGCCGGAGTCACCGCGTTGGCTTTATACCACTGGACGTTTGGATAAATCCATTAAGATCCTGGAGAAGATCGCACGTTGCAACAAGGCCCCAACGGAGACCATACGACCGGAGATCGAGGCTGCATATGCCCTGAAGGATGCCCAACAACAGGCCAAAAAAGCCAATATGTGTGACTTGTTCCGGACACCATATCTCCGGTTGAAGACCATTTTCATGGCCAACGATTGGCTGGTGACATGTATGGTCTACTATGGTACCGCTCAATACGTGGCCGTGCTGGGTGGCAATATCTTTGTGAACAATATGATCGCAGCCTTCGTGGGCATTCCGGGCACATGTCTCTGTGTTGTGTTGACCAAGTATTTGGGTCGCAAATGGACGCTCATCCTCTCGAGTTCCATAAGTGCGGTGGGTCTGTTCTTACTCGCCGCCCTCTTTGAGTTGGGCACCATAGCTCAGGTGGTCTGCGCTGCCCTTGGACTCTTTGGAGCCTCGATGAGTTTCCCCAATGTGTATCTGTACGGCGGAGAGCTCTTTCCCACTGTTGTACGCTCCAATGGCGTGGGCCTGTGTTCGATGGTGGGTCGAATAGGATCCATCCTGGCCCCACTCATCTGCGACCTTAAGGCGTACGGCAATTGGATTGCTCCGGTCATCTTTGGAATCTTCTCCGTGCTAGCTATTCTGGGAACTCTGTTCCTGCCGGAGACCCGAGGTATGCCCCTGCCCGAGACTCTTGAGGATGGCGAGAACTTTGGACGTAAAGCGAAAATGTAATTGTTCAATGTAGTTTTTTCAAGTGTAGTGTTTTTCTCAAGAGCGAAATTAAATAGTTTATGGAGCCAGTGTTTGGGCTTCGAAATTATTAAATTTCGACTTAATTTGCGATTTGTGCGATGCGATATGTCAGTCAAGCCAAACCAACTGCCTTTCGTGCAGCACAAAAAAAATATTGAAAAATCTAGCGAATGCAAAAGGTAATTACCGCGCACTAACTTCCACTTCGTGATTATTAAAACTGGGTTAGCAGTCGTCTGAATCCAACTCTGAATCCGTATCCCAGCTCTTTATGGTAACTGGTTAATGTCGAGGTGCAAACTCTCAGACAAAATAGCGAAAAATGCATTGGGAAATCGCCATGAAGCGACTGGGAATGGATATTTTCGGCATGTGAACCCAAAAAACCCATCGATAGCACGTGAGCGAGAATTCAAATGTGGGAAACAACTACCTTTTATTTAAGTTATTTCACAGTTTTCTTCTTTTAAATATAAATAAATTATATGAACTCTATTCCATTGAATAAAACCCCAATCGAAATCGATTACACACATCAGCGGGAATGACACTCACGGCAATTCCATTAGCAGAGACCATGGCAATTATCGGCAAGCATCTCATTGCACCATCTCCACCAATATCCTTGGGATCCGATGACCTTGGCCAGGCAAAAACCGGCTGGAAGACATCACTTCAAGGTTAATATTCATTGTCAACATTGGGCACGCCTCATTTGTATGCGGCTCTGGGTACTCAATCGGCCCTTGTGTGAGCATATTCCCTATTCTACAGAGGAAATAAATAGTGAATCTTAAAGTTAATATAATATAAAGTGCTAAGACATATTAGTATTTAGAATTCTTCTTTAAAGCCCATAGATTTTATAAGTAAACTTACTGAAATTTTAAATATTTATGAGGACAAGATGAAAGGCTCTTGAAGACATGAAAGTGTGATATAAGTGTGATTCCATACTATACTACTTTCTTCCCAATGAAAAGTCAACTTATAGTTCCCCTTTAAATCTCTAAATCAACTGACAACATTTTGTTTCAGTGCAATCCGTTGTCAGTTGGTCGGCACTTGGCCACATAAAGCCTAAGAGATGCAGCATCCAGTTGCACTTGCAGTCTGTGAATTCGAAGTGAGGCGAGTTTTTAGCGTCATCTTGGCACTGGCAGCTTGTCATGTCAGTGCGGTGTGCGCAGACTGTCAGAATTCGAGGGGCCGTGGAGCGATGCCGACTGGCGGTGTCGCATACTTAATCAGTGGCGGCGCGTCTTAGTGATAATTACCAAGCATTTTTGCAGCCCGCTGATGCTGATGCTGATGCTGTGATGCTGTGAGTTGTGGCGAAATGAATGGCCCGAGCGGCACCACTGTAGTCCACCCGATGATTATTCATTGTGGTGCCACAACAGAGGTCCCACAGTGCTCCTCCTACACGACCATTCTGAAAGGGCGGGAGGCAATTTGTAGGTATTCCTGTGTAGCCATTAAGGAGCAACAGGCGACAAGCGGCGCTGAGAGGAATGCCATAAAAATTAATTGTTTCAGTAACACAAAAAAATACAGAACACAAGAGTAGAGTCAAGAGGGAAACATATGGGGAAATATATAGCTTACGAAAAAGGGGTGGGTTTCTTACAAGTAACTTTACTTTCTATTAATTTAGAAACATATTCATTGAATAGTTAAAACATTAACTATTACAATTGAATTTAATATTGACTCTACACTCTGTTGCATTAAATTGAATTAACTAACAAGATTTATTCATTTAAAAACATATTCTGGGACACCAAAGAAATCACTGGGGGTTCCAAAAATCCCTTAAAAAGCATTCCAAAAACATGCTTAAAAATTAAAATTTATTTGTAATGTCATAATAATCCTTCTTAACCAAGCTTAAGACACAACAAAAAAAGGGTTACTCAGAAGCAACATTCCTGGCTGTAACGAAAATGACTAATTTTAATGATCAACAAAAGGCTTTGTGCCAGGACTATGGATTGCTATTTTACGCCATAACAAAAAACCCTGACACTTGAGCAGAGTTGTAAAGGCAAAAACTGCCACTCAAAAAAGCACAACAAGCGGACATTTTAAATTTATTTTTTGGCCAACACATGGCAAATTTGCCGGGCCAAAACCGCAGACTGGCAGCAGCAAACTGGCAGCACGGAGACAAAACCCATTTAAGTTCAAAGCCAGCCAACCGCCAAGATGATCATTATCTGAGCCGCATATCTATTTGCGATTACCGAGGAGCCTGGCTCTGGCTCTGGAGATGAGGATGAGGATGAAGCTGGATCTTGGAGGCAGAGTCTGAAGCCGAGTCGTGGGAGTTTTTGGTGGCAACGTGGGCGCATAAGGCAGGCAAATGTCAAAATGACGCGCTTTGTTGTTTATCATATTTACCGCAAAAGCGGTGCAAAACTATAAGCCAGGCCAAATGCAATTAGTATTCAAATGCGGACGCGCCGGCGAGCACGATGCCAAAACGAGTCATCATCATCTGCCAGAGGAGCGGACAGCGACACTTGGACCTATAGGTCTGGACTGGGAGGAGCTTCTTTGGGCCACAAAGGAGCCGGCTCATTCTCTCTTCTCTTTTTTACATGCTGAAAAATGCCTAGGCTTTTGCGGCTCACAGTTCGCCGTAATTTAGCGCACGCATTTTGCATTTTAAACTGGAGAGCTGCGAACGGAGACGACTTCTGATTAATTCCTCAGCTGGGCGCTACAAATTCGTTTGACTAATTGCGGCTGAGAGCGGAAAATGGTAATGGGAATGGGAATGGACAGACCTGGCCAAGAGAGAGTGGCTGAGGGTACCGGCCTAGGGGATTCCGTGGAACACCTTATCGGCCGCAATTAAACGTGCTGTCGGCCAGTCCAACGATTTAATGTATGATTTCTTTCAAATCATATCTACGTGACTGTGGACCAGCCTTATCAGCATTTGCCAGGATCCCGGACTTGGGTTTTAAGCCAGGCACTGAAAGAAAGTTTTGAAATATTATACAAAATAAATAATATTTCCATGGAAGACACATTCTCAGTCTCCAATGAAGGCTTAAACCACATAAAATCTAGTACCAGCTAGCTTAAAATGTTAATTTTGAATTTCTCAACTCTTTCGTTATCATTATCCTAGATTTTAATGCTTTCTTGGCTCTATTTTTCGCTCTGTGCATTTACAAACTCATTAATGACAGAAACCCCGGTCGGCCGGCCTCTCAGATGATTCAATATGGCCGCTAGTTGCATATTAAGCAGTTTTCGAGCTCAACGTTCGTCATCGAATATGGCCACATCTACAGTCCAGAGACTCGCAGCTTTCTGTTATATAACCATAATAAAAAACGGACAAAAAAAAAAATAAAAATAACAAAACGACAAAGGCAAAAGAAAGAAGAAACACAAAATGTGTCGTGGGCGCTATCAAGTGACAGCTCCGTGGATCCAAACAGTTGTAAAATTAACAACCGAGTTATGACAACTGCCAGCAATTAAAATTGACAATTGATATGACAGGCGGGTGGCCTCCAGGCGGGCTGAAAAAATTGCCAATAAAAATGAATTCGTTTGGGGGAACAGAGGATGAATGTCCTGGGATTGGCTAGGTAGGGAATGTTAAAAGACTTTTTATAAACAAGTTGAAATACAAGCTGCTCTGTGATTTAAATACAGAAAATATACAGTAAAAAATATGATAAATATCAAGACAAATAGTATATGTAGATACTACCTAAAACCAACTTTTAGATATCCCTTAGCAGTCTTTACAACCATCTCTGTAATGGCTTTTAATTGCCGGGCCTGGCCAAAAAGCAATTGCTGCAATTTCACCAGCAACAGTCAACAGATCGCATACTGAGACAAGCATTTTGGTTGCACAAATATGACAATTGGCGGCATTATTAAATGTGCTACGTGCGGCTAAATCTGCCGACATCAGCGGCGGAGCCACCAAAAAGGGCACAATGAGACAGGGCCGCGGCCCAAAACAGGTTAGTTGTTGGCCGTGAAGGGGTAACAAGGGGTATTTTCCCGCTGATAGCGCACTCAATTTGCATTCGAGTTGGACCGAAATCTAGACTGGAATGACTGCCGGGCCAATTACTTTTTATAACTTTCTAGCTCTGGCACTTCAATCTCGGCCAGTAATTAGTTCGGCCAAAAGAGTTGACAGGTGGCCAGGTGCGTGGGCGACAAAGGTAACCGCACACACATTAACATAATGTTATGAGAGGGCTTTAATTAAAAAACCCAAAGCACATCCCTATTATTTCGTTTCTATTTCTTTTTTTGCCCTCCTTTGGCTTTACCCTGACAAAGTCGTTGGCCATTCCATGTGTGTGCACTCCTTGGAGCATTTAAGGCCGGCCATCCGGCACAGACAATTAAAAACCCTCTGCAGCTCTGCCATTTGCCATTTTATAAGCACAGATTACAGCTTTACGTATACGTAACGCACACGGGGCTAGAATGTGGTGTGTGTGGGTATGGGTGTGGGTATGGAGACATTCAGCCAGGACACACAACGTGCTCCGATAAGCGGTGGAGCACTAGGTGGACGCCAAAAGGCTTCCCAAACACCAGTGATGTCGGGCTGGAATAGGGCAAAACCTAGTTGGACTAAGTATTGAATAAGTTTGGGAATAGTTTAAAATATTTCTAGTAATTTATTTAAGGATAATAATAGAATGTTTTCTTCTAATTGCAGATGTTATTTATAAGAAAGAACCATTTAAAACTATTTAAAATATTCTTAAAGAACTTTAGCCTACTTTTTTAACTACTCTAAGTGTTGTAAATACTTCTTATTATCTTCACTTTCTATTTAAAATATTTAAATCCTGCCAAAAAAACTAGCTAGAATCACATCTTCGACTGGCACGTCTCTCGTATCTGCAGAGTGTTGTGATTTTATGTTGGCCATAGTCATCCTGAAACGTCCTGTTACCAGTTCCCCTTAACCTGCTCCTGTTCCTGCTCCTACTCATTGTCTGCTTGTCTGCTTTAATGACATTGCACTGCACTTATTTCGTTTTTGGCTCTTTATACTCTTGATTTCTTTTGAT